TCTGGAAGGGTCTAGAGCCTCCATTTTTGCACTCAGGTCAAAGTCTCACAGCCCTCTATCATAATCCAGAGTTTTGAGAAGATTGGAGAAACTTAATTTTTCGCCCAAAAACGAAAAAAAAAAAGGGGTAACACTGTCGTTTTTTTTTCGGGTCGAAATTTTGAATTTCGATATCTCAGCTCTGGAAGGGTCTAGAGCCTCCATTTTTGCACTCAGGTCAAAGTCTCACAGCCCTCTATCATAATCCAGAGTTTTGAGAAGATTGGAGAAACTTAATTTTTCGCCCAAAAACGAAAAAAAACGAAAGGGGTAACACTGTCGTTTTTTTTTCGGGTCGAAATTTTGAATTTCGATATCTCAGCTCTGGAAGGGTCTAGAGCCTCCATTTTTGCACTCAGGTCAAAGTCTCACAGCCCTCTATCATAATCCAGAGTTTTGAGAAGATTGGAGAAACTTAATTTTTCGCCCAAAAACGAAAAAAAAAAAGGGGTAACACTGTCGTTTTTTTTTCGGGTCGAAATTTTGAATTTCGATATCTCAGCTCTGGAAGGGTCTAGAGCCTCCATTTTTGCACTCAGGTCAAAGTCTCACAGCCCTCTATCATAATCCAGAGTTTTGAGAAGATTGGAGAAACTTAATTTTTCGCCCAAAAACGAAAAAAACGAAAGGGGTAACACTGTCGTTTTTTTTTCGGGTCGAAATTTTGAATTTCGATATCTCAGCTCTGGAAGGGTCTAGAGCCTCCATTTTTGCACTCAGGTCAAAGTCTCACAGCCCTCTATCATAATCCAGAGTTTTGAGAAGATTGGAGAAACTTAATTTTTCGCCCAAAAACGAAAAAAAACGAAAGGGGTAACACTGTCGTTTTTTTTTCGGGTCGAAATTTTGAATTTCGATATCTCAGCTCTGGAAGGGTCTAGAGCCTCCATTTTTGCACTCAGGTCAAAGTCTCACAGCCCTCTATCATAATCCAGAGTTTTGAGAAGATTGGAGAAACTTAATTTTTCGCCCAAAAACGAAAAAAAACGAAAGGGGTAACACTGTCGTTTTTTTTTCGGGTCGAAATTTTGAATTTCGATATCTCAGCTCTGGAAGGGTCTAGAGCCTCCATTTTTGCACTCAGGTCAAAGTCTCACAGCCCTCTATCATAATCCAGAGTTTTGAGAAGATTGGAGAAACTTAATTTTTCGCCCAAAAACGAAAAAAAACGAAAGGGGTAACACTGTCGTTTTTTTTTCGGGTCGAAATTTTGAATTTCGATATCTCAGCTCTGGAAGGGTCTAGAGCCTCCATTTTTGCACTCAGGTCAAAGTCTCACAGCCCTCTATCATAATCCAGAGTTTTGAGAAGATTGGAGAAACTTAATTTTTCGCCCAAAAACGAAAAAAAACGAAAGGGGTAACACTGTCGTTTTTTTTTCGGGTCGAAATTTTGAATTTCGATATCTCAGCTCTGGAAGGGTCTAGAGCCTCCATTTTTGCACTCAGGTCAAAGTCTCACAGCCCTCTATCATAATCCAGAGTTTTGAGAAGATTGGAGAAACTTAATTTTTCGCCCAAAATGAAAAAAAACGAAAGGGGTAACACTGTCGTTTTTTTTTCGGGTCGAAATTTTGAATTTCGATATCTCAGCTCTGGAAGGGTCTAGAGCCTCCATTTTTGCACTCAGGTCAAAGTCTCACAGCCCTCTATCATAATCCAGAGTTTTGAGAAGATTGGAGAAACTTAATTTTTCGCCCAAAAACGAAAAAAAACGAAAGGGGTAACACTGTCGTTTTTTTTTCGGGTCGAAATTTTGAATTTCGATATCTCAGCTCTGGAAGGGTCTAGAGCCTCCATTTTTGCACTCAGGTCAAAGTCTCACAGCCCTCTATCATAATCCAGAGTTTTGAGAAGATTGGAGAAACTTAATTTTTCGCCCAAAAACGAAAAAAAACGAAAGGGGTAACACTGTCGTTTTTTTTTCGGGTCGAAATTTTGAATTTCGATATCTCAGCTCTGGAAGGGTCTAGAGCCTCCATTTTTGCACTCAGGTCAAAGTCTCACAGCCCTCTATCATAATCCAGAGTTTTGAGAAGATTGGAGAAACTTAATTTTTCGCCCAAAAACGAAAAAAAAAAAAGGGGTAACACTGTCGTTTTTTTTTCGGGTCGAAATTTTGAATTTCGATATCTCAGCTCTGGAAGGGTCTAGAGCCTCCATTTTTGCACTCAGGTCAAAGTCTCACAGCCCTCTATCATAATCCAGAGTTTTGAGAAGATTGGAGAAACTTAATTTTTCGCCCAAAAACGAAAAAAAACGAAAGGGGTAACACTGTCGTTTTTTTTTCGGGTCGAAATTTTGAATTTCGATATCTCAGCTCTGGAAGGGTCTAGAGCCTCCATTTTTGCACTCAGGTCAAAGTCTCACAGCCCTCTATCATAATCCAGAGTTTTGAGAAGATTGGAGAAACTTAATTTTTCGCCCAAAAACGAAAAAAAACGAAAGGGGTAACACTGTCGTTTTTTTTTCGGGTCGAAATTTTGAATTTCGATATCTCAGCTCTGGAAGGGTCTAGAGCCTCCATTTTTGCACTCAGGTCAAAGTCTCACAGCCCTCTATCATAATCCAGAGTTTTGAGAAGATTGGAGAAACTTAATTTTTCGCCCAAAAACGAAAAAAAACGAAAGGGGTAACACTGTCGTTTTTTTTTCGGGTCGAAATTTTGAATTTCGATATCTCAGCTCTGGAAGGGTCTAGAGCCTCCATTTTTGCACTCAGGTCAAAGTCTCACAGCCCTCTATCATAATCCAGAGTTTTGAGAAGATTGGAGAAACTTAATTTTTCGCCCAAAACGAAAAAAAACGAAAGGGGTAACACTGTCGTTTTTTTTTCGGGTCGAAATTTTGAATTTCGATATCTCAGCTCTGGAAGGGTCTAGAGCCTCCATTTTTGCACTCAGGTCAAAGTCTCACAGCCCTCTATCATAATCCAGAGTTTTGAGAAGATTGGAGAAACTTAATTTTTCGCCCAAAAACGAAAAAAAACGAAAGGGGTAACACTGTCGTTTTTTTTTCGGGTCGAAATTTTGAATTTCGATATCTCAGCTCTGGAAGGGTCTAGAGCCTCCATTTTTGCACTCAGGTCAAAGTCTCACAGCCCTCTATCATAATCCAGAGTTTTGAGAAGATTGGAGAAACTTAATTTTTCGCCCAAAAACGAAAAAAAACGAAAGGGGTAACACTGTCGTTTTTTTTTCGGGTCGAAATTTTGAATTTCGATATCTCAGCTCTGGAAGGGTCTAGAGCCTCCATTTTTGCACTCAGGTCAAAGTCTCACAGCCCTCTATCATAATCCAGAGTTTTGAGAAGATTGGAGAAACTTAATTTTTCGCCCAAAAACGAAAAAAAACGAAAGGGGTAACACTGTCGTTTTTTTTTCGGGTCGAAATTTTGAATTTCGATATCTCAGCTCTGGAAGGGTCTAGAGCCTCCATTTTTGCACTCAGGTCAAAGTCTCACAGCCCTCTATCATAATCCAGAGTTTTGAGAAGATTGGAGAAACTTAATTTTTCGCCCGAAAACGAAAAAAAAACGAAAGGGGTAACACTGTCGTTTTTTTTTCGGGTCGAAATTTTGAATTTCGATATCTCAGCTCTGGAAGGGTCTAGAGCCTCCATTTTTGCACTCAGGTCAAAGTCTCGTGGCCCTCTATCATAATCCAGAGTTTTGAGAAGATTGGAGAAACTTAATTTTTCGCCCAAAAACGAAAAAAAACGAAAGGGGTAACACTGTCGTTTTTTTTTCGGGTCGAAATTTTGAATTTCGATATCTCAGCTCTGGAAGGGTCTAGAGCCTCCATTTTTGCACTCAGGTCAAAGTCTCACAGCCCTCTATCATAATCCAGAGTTTTGAGAAGATTGGAGAAACTTAATTTTTCGCCCGAAAACGAAAAAAAACGAAAGGGGTAACACTGTCGTTTTTTTTTCCGGGTCGAAATTTTGAGTTTTGATATCTCAGCTCTGGAAGGGTCTAGAGCCTCCATTTTTGCACTCAGGTCAAAGTCTCACAGCCCTCTATCATAATCCAGAGTTTTAAGAAGATTGGAGAAACTTAATTTTTCACCCGAAAACGAAAAAAAAAAACGAAAGGGGTAACACTGTCGGGTTTTTTTCGGGTCGAAATTTTGAGTTTCGATATCTCAGCTCTGGAAGGGTCTAGAGCCTCCATTTTTGCACTCAGGTCAAAGTCTCGCTGCCCTCTATCAGAATCCAGAGTTTTGAGAAGATTGGAGAAACTTAATTTTTCGCCCGAAAACGAAAAAAAACGAAAGGGGTAACACTGTCGTTTTTTTTTTTCGGGTCGAAATTTTGAATTTTGATATCTCAGCTCTGGAAGGGTCTAGAGCCTCCATTTTTGCACTCAGGTCAAAGTCTCACAGCCCTCCATCATAATCCAGAGTTTTGAGAAGATTGGAGAAACTTAATTTTTCACCCGAAATTAAAAAAAACGAAAGGGGTAACACTGTCGTTTTTTTTTTCGTGTCGAAATTTTGAATTTTGATATCTCAGCTCTGGAAGGGTCTAGAGCCTCCATTTTTGCACTCAATTCAAAGTCTCACAGCCCTCTATCAGAATCCAGAGTTTTGAGAAGATTGGAGAAACTTAATTTTTTGCCCGAAAACGAAAAAAACGAAAGGGGTAACACTGTCGGGTTTTTTTCAGGTCGAAATTTTGAATTTTGATATCTCAGCTCTGGAAGGGTCTAGAGCCTCCATTTTTGCACTCAGGTCAAAGTCTCGTGGCCCTCTATCAGAATCCAGAGTTTTGAGAAGATTGGAGAAACTTAATTTTTCGCCCGAAAACGAAAAAAACGAAAGATCAGAGAAACTTTTTTTTTTTGCACAGAAAAAGTCGACAGGGGTACCCCTTTGAGTTTTTTCGTGTCGAAATTTTGAGTTTCTCTGATCTTTTTGAAACTCTGGATTCTGATAGAGGGCCATGAGACGCTCATACGCACAAAATGCAATGCAAAACAAATTTTTATTTAATGTATATAAGAAAACATCACATCATGAGGCTTACTTTTTATGAAACTAAATTATGTTTGTTCATGGGTAACCTACAGTACATTGACCTGGGATATTGTTTTGGGCAAAAAGTGTATTGCAACAGAGATCAGATGTCATAAATCTCTCTTTCTGAGAGATTCTGAGAGTCCCAGGGTTGCTGTGGGAGAAGGGTGAGGTGGTTGTGTCGTAGTGTTCTCAGCTCCGTCAGTCGTCCCAGGAGCCTGGCGAAGCGTCGCGGGTCCTGTGCTGTCCCCTGACTATAGCAGCAGCAAGCCCGGGACAGGAGCTCCAAAACAAACTCCTGTAAGTTCTCAACACAGCCCACCGCACGAAGAGATGGCCTGTCTGCTTGGCAACAGGAAACAAAAGGTGGTAATTTGAAACATCCACAGTGGACGTAAGATATTTTCTTGAAATTTGCGAGACTTTGGATTAATTAGCCACTATGGGAAAATAAAGTGCATTGAAAGGTAAAACTATTTTACTGAACTACTACTCTACAAACAAACGATAATAAATTAAAATAGTATGAGAAAAAATACCAGTTTGAGCACAACACAAACCTGAGCACAACACTGCCGTCGCCGTTAGAAGTGCATATTCAGTCTCGGTTACCGCAATAGTCACCATACTGTGGAGGAAATTTACCACAGATCTCAAGAGCTCATCATTCAACCCTGATCAGAGATAAAAAATAAAAAAAATCACAACATTAGCACACAAAAAGGATTTGTCACTAAATGTAATGTGATATTTTCCTACAAAGACTATCGCTTTGCGTCATAGATCACCTGAGTGTGTCAGAATCCTGTGGCTGTTCCCAATCTTGGACTCTAAAGTTTTTGCCCAATCTGGATTTGAGTTATTTGAATTTGCTGGGTATAAAGCTGGTGATATAAAACATCAGTGAGTCATAAATTATCCATAATGTTTTGAGTTGTTGAGAACAAAATAATGCATCTAATCCGCTTGTTAAATTGAGATTGAGGTTGTGTGATAATATATGTCATTACCAGTGCTAACACTAGAGGGGTTCTCTGAGAACTGCTGTGCTAAGAGTAGGAACATGACTTCAACTGAAGAGCTGGACAGAAGTGTGTTCTGGTCAGAACTATCCAAAAGCTCAAACCCTAAACAACAGATTACCACAAATTAGTATTATTTAGACGTGTGTGGGGTGTAATCTGAGAGAAGTTGGAGGAAACTGACCAGGTACACTCCTCAAAAATTGCAAAAGCTTCTCCATCTGAGGAGGAATCATATCTGTATTTGTTAAACTTGACCACAAAGGCACCTGGGGAAAGAAAAACAATGATATCTTATATTATGGGCAGTATTTCTATTGCATTGTTAATAAAAAAAGAAACAAACTTCTTTGACATACCGGGCAGTGTGTGTTGTCTTGAATTATGTACCTACGATAAGCCTCAACAATTCTATTGAGAATGCATCTCTGCTCTCTGGAGAAACTCGATGAAACCTGCTAACAGTATTATTTGAAGATAAGAAACTTGTTGTGAATTTTTAACACAAGCTTCAAATCTCGGAAATCTCTGCTTGGAAAAGCTAAATAACGCGAGATGATTTTACCCGTGTGGTGAATCTGCTGGTGGACGAGACGCTCCTGTTTTCAGAGTAGTCATCTTCAGCTCTTCCTGTTGACCCGTTGCGTCCTCTGTTCTTGTAGCCCTTCCTCAGTCTCTTCGACTGGCATTGCACTTCTGTAAGCAGACCTGACAAAAAGACACCAGAAATCGAATTGATGCCAAAGGCCTGATTCAAAGCAATACGTAAAGATTTAAATCCGTCTAGAAGGTTTTACGTCAATCTCACACTCTGCCAGCATCCCGACGGCTCTGCATTTGCGTAGCCTGCAGTCCTGACACTTTCTCCGCATGTACATGTCCATCTCGCAGCTTCCACCACTTTTGCAGCGGTATATGGCTTTTTTAGTCACGCTGCGTCTGAAGAAACCTAAACCAAGAGAGATATACACTACTGTTAAAAAGTTTAGGGTCAGTAAAATGATTTTAGTGGTTTTGAAAGAAGTCTCTTAATCTGTGTTTATTTGATCAAAAATACAGTAAATTTGTGAAATATACTTACAATTTAAAAGAAGTTTTCTTTTATTATTTTAAAATGTAATTTATTCCTGTGAAGCAAAGCTGATTTTTCAGCATCATCACTCCTGTCTTCATGTATCACATGATTTCTAATATACTGATTTGCTGCTAGAGAAACATCTATTATTGATAATAAGGTTAAAAACAGTTGTGCTGCTTAATATTTTTGTGCGTTTTTCAGTATTTTGATCAATTTAATGCCCCCTTCCTAAACAAAAGTGTTAATTTCTTTCCCAAATAAAGAAATTACAAACCTCAAACATTTGAATGGTAATGATATACTTTAAATGTCTTGTCCAGGTAAACAGACAATTTTGTAGATATATCCAAGCAACTATCAATAGCAAGTAAATCTTGTTTCATTGTTATTGGTTATTTAAGCGAAAAGCTCTTTAATATGTCCCACTCGATATTCTGTTTTAAAAGGAAAAATGTCAACACAGCAAAAGAAACTTCTTGTCAAGCCATTTCGCAGAATCTTTCAAATACGGATTAAAAATAGTGTATCAAGGATTAAAGGGATAATTCACCCAGTAATTAAAATTCTCTCATCATTTACTCACCCTCACACCATCCCCAATGTTTATGAGTTTCTTTCTTAAGATAAACTAAGGAAAACAATCCACCTCTTTGATGCAAGTGAATAGGTGCCGCTCGTTTGACGCAGCGATCATGGCGGTAATCCACACAAACCCAGTGGATGAATCAATTTCTTCTAAAGCGAAACTATAGGTTAAATTCTTCTTGTAACTTTTTAAACTAAATAATCGATGTAGATAATAAAACGAACAAAATGTGGGTGAACTCTCCCTTAAATGTTATCCTTAAAGGAGTAGTTCACTTTTCAAAAAACTTTTGCTGATAATTTACTCACCCCCATGTCATCCAAGATGTCCATGTCTTTCTTTCTTCAGTCGAAAAGAAATTAAGGTTTTTGATGAAAACATTCCAGCATTTTTCTCCATATAATGGACTTCAGTGGGAACCAAACAGTTCAAGGTCCAAAAGACAGTTTCAGTACAAACTGCAAACTGGTCAAAGGGCTTTAAAAGATTCCAGACGATGAATAAGGGTCTTATTTAAAAAAAAAAACAACAACAAAGTTTAAGTTTTATAAGCACAAATGCTAGCCTTGCTCTGTTCTGTCACGCACGTTTGAGACTCTCTTGTTCGAATCTTTTTCCGAGTCAATTCCTGAGTCAATTTGGTTCGTTGAATGAACCAAATGACTTGGAAAAAGATTCATTCATTTTGATGAACGAGTTCGAACAAGAGAGTCACAAACGTGCGTCACAGAACAGAGCAAGGCTAGCATTTATGCTTATAATACTTAAACTTTGTTATTTATTTATTTATTTTTTAAAATGAGCAATCGTTTCACTTGATAAGACCCTTATTCATCGTCTGGAATTGTTTAAAGCCCTTTGAACAGTTTGCAGTTTGTACTGAAAAGTGTCTTTTGGACCTTGAACCGTTTGGTTCCCACTGAAGAAAAATCTTGGAATGTTTTCATCAAAAACCTTAATTTCTTTTCGACTGAAGAAAGAAAGACGTGGACATCTTGGATGACATGGGGGTGAGAAAATTATCAGCAAAAGTTCTTTGAAAAGTAAACAACTCCTTTAAATTCAGTACTGTAGTTTTTACACAGCCTACCTTTGCATCCCTCACAGGTGAGGGCATTGTAGTGATATCCCGAGGCTTTATCTCCACACACGACACACAGCTCATCCTGGCCTTTTACCCGAGCTCCATGTCCCATCCTGGGCCTTTTCAGCACTGGAAAACCAATAATGCTGCCTCTTGTTGGGCTTTGGACCTCTATCTCGGGCTCACAGATGTACTCAGAGCACTGATGGCTGTAGGGGTACGGCGGGTTGCATGCTTGAACGTTTGGCGCTCCGTACATGGAGAACTGCATATTAACAGGGCTGAACGGCTGCTGTCCATAGAGAGGACTTTGTAGATCCGGTTCTTGATAAGAGCAGCTCAGTGGATCCACAAGAACATCTGCAGCAAGAATAGGAGAACATCTTGATGAGTGAATTGATTGAAAATGTTTCACAAGAAATATGTTTCTTTTTCCACATGATTCTTGAATTACCTAATGACATTTATGAGGCCATTGGGACCTAATAAAAAAAAACAAAAAGACAGAGCAAGACCTTTTGAATCTTTTCTGTCTCTGGAAACAGGATGCAGCTGAAGTTACAGTTTTGTTTATGGATGTTATTTGCTTTGTAGCTTATGGAGGTTTTATAACCATACAGAATTGAGCCTTCCTGATGTTTTTTTCTGTCGGAGGGAAGGTTATGAAGATGGATTTTAGATTTGAGTTCCCCCATAGAGGAATCACGTCACAGCATTTCTGAAGCACATCTGCACATCAAGACATTTTCCCCCATTTTTAACGGACACTTTTTGGGACAAATATTTCACATGAGAAAAATTTAATATGCGAGTAAAACACATTTTATCAAACCAATTCCAGCAAATTCATCCCTGTTTTTCCATGTCATTCATAAATATTCTTCCGCTGTGGTGGTGGTCTCTTACTGGCCTTCAATCCTGTTTTTCTCACAGATGTTTTATGTCCCGTTTCAGCATAACTTTCCAGAGCTCGTATCTGTTTGTAAAACACTGGAGTTCTTCATATAACATTCATGTCGGTGAGAAGCTTTGCTTAAATACAAGCATTGACTGGAATTACTAGAATTAAATGACAAAACGAAACTGAAAATGTACACAAGCACTATTCGGACAGTAATAGTTTCGCAAGGCGGTGTCTGTGAAATAATCAGTTTGTACATTCGGATCACATTTAGTGAATGGGTATGAAGGAGACAAACCACTGAAGTCACATGACCAACACAACATCAGTGATGGCAAGTAATTATTCATGTCGTTTTTTAAATAGTTGGCAGAAAACGTGTGTGCTTCATGAAATTTACAAATCCTTTTTATTAGTGTTCAAATTAACCACAAATGTTTTGTTCTTGCAATGTTGTAGGCTGTTCGTTGCAATTTTGCACTTTTGACAAACATTCTGAGATATTTGAGTGTTGTGTGTAATAAAAAATCATAATTGTATCATTTTATTACAATTTTTTATTTTATATTCATTAAAATAAATTAAAATCAATTATTTATTAAATATTCATTATTTTAAACACTAAATATTTGACTTAAAACATTCCTCAGACACTTATTCAGTTATTTATAATATACGTTGTTAAAAAAAAAAGCCAAAGTAGTTTCAATGTAGCTAGCTATTTTTTGATAGTAACTTGTAGTGTAGCTAACTACTTTTCCAAAAGGGTAGCTTGACTGTAGTTTAACTACTTTAACAAGCTTGTAGCTTGTCAAACTACAGTTTTAGAGTAGCTTCCCCAACACAGTTGATTTCTATAATAAAGTGTAATCTTACCATAGTACTGTGG